CGCTCCAGCTCATCCGGCTTATTCTTCTTCAAGAAGCGCCAAGGAGAGGCGTGACGAAGGATGCTAGTGGTATGGCAACTCCATTTTCCCCATCTACTTATCCCAAGTACGATGCTGGGAGCGATAAGTTACTAGTCAGGGCTTGGGCATTATACTACGCTTCTCTCGTATTATGGGCATACGGATATGTGCAAGATGGAAACATCGAGCCGTTCCCAGATCATCTACAATATCCCTCCAGCAGCTATGGTATACCGACGATGGCCACCGAGGCTAGTGTTCATTCATCCTCAGCTCAAGGCACTATCAACACTCCTCAGGGATCTCATCCAGAGCAGACGCCTATGTCATCGCATATGGACTACGAGGCGTTGAAGCGTGATCGTCACGAGGATCTTCGAACATATCTCCAAATCATGATCCCGCCCACCATCGACTCTATCAAAGCTTTCCACTTGCATCAAAATCAAGCTGGCGTGGTGGGAAACAGGAATAAGATCATTGGTCTATTGAGTGTTGTTGACGATGCACTGACGAACACGCGCTGGGAGCTTTTGTCTGAGGCGAGGAATAGGTTGAAGATGGCAGCGTCAATGATGCAACAGCCTCGTGAACCAAGGATGTAAGAGAGGTTAGGTGTGTGGTTTTTCAAACAAAATTTACGTCTGATGAGTTTGGATACCTTTGGGATTTGTATAGTATTACTATGTAGCGATTCGGTGGCAGTTATTGGTTTTTAGCATTTTCATATATACTTTATCCTGGCATATAGGTCGTCTCAAATTTTATGTGAGCGAAAATTATCTCGAAAAAATGCATTCATTAAATTCAATTATGTCTGACAACATAACACTTCAGCAATGATAAAGCTGATGAGGTATTTCGTCATACCGGAAGCACCTCCGATGCCTCGGTCATATCGTCCGATGCCGGATCCCAGCATTGCCTCATCCAACATCTTTGGAGACCATTGACTCACGACTTGGACAACCTTAGTTGACCATATTGACCAAAGCGATGAATCGGATTATTTCACATCAAAATTGAACCTAATTCTTTCACAAGATCCTGTGTTGAGTTCTTGTATCGATAGTCACTACATCAGACGTATAAGGATTCCCCGGAAAACTTCACAGAAGGTGTTTTCCGGTGGCTTGTTGATCCATCGGCCTCGAAGCCGTGCTCCCACCCAAGTCCCCAGCTTATCTTTTCCACTGACTTTTCTAGTGGACCACCATTATCGTCTCAAGCCGGAAGCTGGCCCGTCTCCATACTCCATGGGGAGTTTGGGGGCTTTGGTCATTCACGTGATCGGATCATCGTGTGGAGAAGTTCTACACTCAAAGTCCGGAACCATCCCGAGAGAATAACAACGCTCAAGTCCCCGCGCCCTCGGACTTTCAGCCCATTCAGTCCCAGACTCTCGGTCAAGTCTTCCATAAGCTTCTTATCTCTAGAGTCAGATCATCTCGTTTCTAGAACCTCTCAATGACCCCCGTGGCCGACGACTCGACTGCCTCAATGGCTCGGAAGCGTCCGGCGCCCTCCGATGGGGGAAAAGATGCACGCAAAGCATCATTGGCGTATGTCGATATCCTGTTCTCCACTATTTTTGTCTTGCTCTGGTGACTTACAGCTTCGCAGGTGTCTTACATGTAGGAAGAAAAAGGTTCGGTGTTCGGGGACTACTCCTTGTCAGTACTGCACCAAGCGTGGCCTGGACTGCAGGGTTCCCGAGCATGGACACAAGCGCATGTATATGGCCAAGTAAGTTCTTTCGTAACTCAATTAGGACTTACAGCTGATATATGTCACTTGTTAGTCGTATCGAGGAACTTGAGAGCAAGTTAGCCAGATATGAAAGAGATGGCTACGATGGAATGCCTTCAACTCTACCTCCTAGGGCATCTGGTATGGCTCTCCTTTCATCCTGGCATCATTCTGCCTATACTGATAATCTCAAGAACCCCCAGTTTCTGCTACACAGAACGGGCGAAGGAGAGACTCCAATTCTAACCCACAAACATCTCACTCTTCCCCTCAAGACCCTCTCCATGTTAGATCAAGATCCTCAAGCTTCATCCGCCCTTCTACAAGTTTCTCCGCACCCCTAGCTCAACATAAATATCCTCCTTACGATGGCACTCAAACATCACCGGCTGCAAGTAAGTTAACTTCTCTCCAAGCCCTATGACCGCATGCTTAAAATTCAGCTATTCTTGCCGGCTCTTCCCTCAGCTCTAGTCATACCTTTGGCTCCCGAGTCCAAGACTTACTCGGCTCATCTCGCCCCGAGTCAGAGCCAACTTCAAAACCTTGGATCAGTCCTGAGGCAAACTTACGTCACGAAGTTATCAGCCATCCATGGCGTCTCTCTAGCAGTGACTTTCCAAAATTGCCCCCAAGAGACGAGGCTCAAAGGTTGTTAGATACAGCTCTGTTCTATATCGGCCAGTCACAGCACCATATTGATGCCCGTGAGTTTTCTGATAAAATGTGGGCTTTCTACCAGAACCGTGATGATCCTGCTCAGATGGAGTCTCTGTGGGTTCTCGAGATGATTCTTATGATTGCTATTGGAACCCTGTTCGACGCCAACCCCGAAGGGAATGACGACTTTTCTGGGGTCAGACTCTTTGAGTATGCCCATAGAAACGTTCCCACTTTGTCGGACTTGCGATTCAATGGAAAGCTTGGTATTGAGATTTTTGCTCTCTTTGCCATTTATCTCGGCAACATGAATCGTAAAGAAGAAGCATATCTCTATGTGAGTTGTCTCATGGCTAATTCTGGAACAATGGCTGACTTTTCCCGTAGATTAGCACCGCCATGCGCTTGGCAATTTCACAAAAGTATCACAGAGTATGTGGAACAAGGCACTTGATGCAGTCTGAGAGAGTTCATATGAACCGTCTGTGGTGGACTATTTACATGCAAGAACGGTAAGGGAATAAAACCGTGGACTTCAGGAATGATGGCTAATGAATATGTGCAATAAGACGATTGGCTGCGGCGACAGGCAACCCTCCAAGCATCGGTGATGAGGCAATCAACATCCCTCTTCCTACCGATTCACCTGGCTTCCCACCTGTTGGTCCTATGTGCACAAACATCAGGATAGCCCGAGCCACGGGTCGTATCCTGGCTGGTAGGTCTACGTAAATTTATAAAAATTTGTTGCATTGTGACTGACACTTTGTTAGTACTCTATAATCCTGAAGACGAGTCAGAATCCACCTTTATTCCCCACGTCCAGGATATCGTCAAATCCTTATACCAGATCTCCCAAGAAATCCCTTCAGATGCAGTTACAGATGTGTATAACCTGGGTCGGGACCAGTCCCTGAGAACGACAGCTTCGTTGCATCTGATGCTCTTCCAAGTATGCAAGCTGGCTACAAGAGTGAATGACCGTACTGACTATTGGACAGGCAACTATTCTTACGATTCGACCACTCATGCTACACGCTGCGAAACTCATTCTCAGCGGTAATGGCCTTACAGGAGAACAGTTGCACGCATCACCGCTAGGCAGACTCTCGAGGACATGCGCCGAGGCTGCAAGGCGACAGCTTAAGGTTGTCGCAACGCTCAGAAAACGCAACATGATCGGTAAGCTGACCTAAGACCTTTGGTGTTGTTTTACTGACACGGTTTAAGCAATCTTTGGCTTCTACGACTTCGAAGCCTCCTTCTCAGCTGCGTTCATTATGATTCTCGCTGCGATCCTGGATTCAGTCTGTGAAGAGAGCATGAAAATCAACCCCAAGCCCGGCTTGACGCAGGCCATGGAAGAAATACAGCACCTTGCTGACCATGGAAACACGTATGCTCGCGAGAGATTGCAAGAGGTCAAGAGACTCTGGAAAGTAATGGCACAAAAGATCGAGTCACTACAAGTGGTCAACGTATCTCCCCAAGGACCACCTGGCGAAGGCCAAACCACCAACGGTGTCGCACAAACCAACGGCGCAACACCCTCTGGTTTCGGTGATCTTCACCGAGGCGAGCTCATTCCAGGCGACCAAAGCCAAACATCGCCAGAAGATTTCATGCCTCTCGACACAGACCTATGGGACAACTTCTCTAACCTTTGGGTTCCTATGCCTGAAGTCGTAGAGGGGGGTTCGCAGCAAGAGATGATGATGGGGGATATTCCGCATGATGACTTTTATAAGCATTGCTATTCAATGTATAATAACCCGGACTGGGATCTTACGGGTGAGGATGTTGGGGACTTTGCTGAGCTTGGAAGACATATTCAGGATTCATGATGGGAGCTTCTGGGAAAGACAAGTTTGATTGAGAATTCAACTACCCTAATACTCGGTTTTATGTTGGTTTTTGTGGGAAATATTGCTCAACCACGAATGCATACATGTTTGGATAAAACAAAAGCCGGTGACTTGATGAAATAAGATGAGAAATTCATATTATTTTGAGTAGTAAAAGTGTTTCTAACTTTAGAATGCTCTAGGCTACGTTGCTTCGGATCAATTCTCTAGCCAACTTATTTTCGCCTCCTGATTTGCAGTCTTCCTTAGTCGTAGAGGCTGATTAATTGACTCGGAGCATCTTTCCAGCGAAGCCGCATCGCTTAGTGCTATTCGGATGAATTCATTGGCGCAGAAGTGACATCAAGTAACGTTGATTAACGCTGTTGGAGTGAGATTAGTCACTGGAAAAGTGCGCTAAGCCCTGTAGATCGCCAGAGGTCCCTTGTTTTGGCGTCTCTGCCAACGGAGAACTTGGCAAAGACCGGAGGCTTTCTGTGTAGGATTCAAGTCGGAGGATAAAATGCGGAATTTTATAGGGCAGTAGCTATTAGTTTCGCAATATGTGGACTTTGACTTAATGTGGTACAATTGATCAGCATCTCGGGGCGCTGCAAAGATATAAGACGGCCGAAGCGCCAGCTTAGACTCCATCATCACAATCACTCTTCAATCTCACTGCTTATGCACTCACCATAATTAAACATCAATTACCAAAACCTCAAAATGTCAAAGACTCTCGCTGTCATCGGCGCCACTGGAAAACAAGGCGGCGCTGTCATAGACTTCGTCCTCAACGACCCAGAACTGTCAAAGCAATACAAGATCCGCGCCATCACCCGCGATGTCGACTCTGAGAACTCCAAAAAGCTCAAAGAGCGGGGTATTGAAGTCGCACAGGGCGACTTAGCTGACCCTAACTCTATCAAGACTGCTCTGAAGGGAGCACACACTCTCTTCTTCATGACGACTCCTGCTTGGACTGCTACCGATCTGAAGCCTGAGTTTGACGTCATCAAGAAGACAGCTGATGCAGCTGTTGACGCTGGCATTGAGTACATTATCTTTAGCAGTCTTCCTAGCACTACAGACGTCTCTGGTGGGAAGTACACCGCCAATCATCCCTTCGATGCTAAGGCTGAGGGCGAGAAGTACATTCGTACACTTCCCGTTAAGAGCGCCTTTGTCCGCCTGGGATTCTTCCTCGAGAATATCATCCAAGTCCCTCTCTGGGCTCCTCAGAAGGACGAGAGTGGCAAATGGGTTGTATCTCTCCCATTCACCCCCGAGACTCGCATCCCATGGATCGACAACGGCAGCAATTGCGGCAGTTTCGTCGGCGCAATTCTAGCCGAGCCTGAAAAGTATGAAGGCGTAGGCTTTGATGCAGCTGCTGGGTTTTATAGCCTAGAGGAGCTTGTCGCTATTGAGAGCAAGGTTACTGGCAAGGAGATCACTTATAAGCAAATATCTTCTGAGGATTTTGCTGAGAAGCTACCCATCCTAAAGGATGTCTACGTGCAAGCCTTTAAAGCTGGCCAGGAGTTCGGATACTATGGTGCTGATGGAGAGAAGTCAGTTGCTTGGGGTGTTGAGAGAGCGAGAGGCAAGCTTGTTACTCCTGAGGAGTTCTTCAAGGCGAACCCTCTCAAGTTGGAGTGATGAAGTATGTGAAGGATCTTTGTACTTAAATGTCATGGTTGACAAAGAGTTTCGAAAGGACGAAGGGTGCGATAAATGGGTTAAGATGTATTTGAGCAACCTTTAAATGGAGACTATCCGTAAGAACCTTTTGTATTGTGAAACATTGCTGACTTTGTTCTCGTCTGTTTCCACTACGGAGTCCCATTAAATCCACTGTAAGCACAGAGTTGAATGACAAGGGCACAATACTTAGGATGAACGCCCTAGACAGTATTAAGATGTCTTAGGGTAGTGTATGATAGACTTCTTAGGCCCATGGAGAGTCTCAAATCTTATGGCACCCGGAGCGGAGGCTTTCCGGATTTATAGTGTGTGCCAACTATTTGAACAGGAGTTCAGAAAACCGCTTCTGTGCCTCAGTCTCATCCCATTCGACAACACGCCTTTCCTTGCTCTCAGCCATCTTCCTCTGTACAAAGGGCTCCATGGCAGCTCTCTCGTCATCACTCAACAAGTCAATCCGTGTCTTCCAGAGATCGCCTTTCACCGCGCCAGGATCCCGATGACCAAAGAACCTCTCATCTAGGAAGTTCCAGTACATAGAGTCAAATGCCCAACTCTTACGGGCCGCATAGCTTAGAAAGAAGCGTCCTGTTCGTCAACTTTCGCGCATATACCTAGATAGGGGTACTGGGAAAGTGTTATAGGCTGGTGTGCCCATGCTGGCTTCTGCTTTCTCCATAGCCGAAAGCCAAATGCCCAAACGAGACTCATAGGTTTGCCTCCAGTCGTTGAGATCCGGTGACCACATTTCTGCGGTCTCAAGTAGCAACCACCAGGGCGGATCAAGAATAAATTGCGTTGGCCCAGCATATGTATACTCCCAGTCAATTAGAGCAGCTATCTGATCCGAGTCGTCAAGCAGGATGTTACCTGCGCGAAAGTCATCTCCCCATAGCCGGAAAGGTCCAGAGTTAGAAGGGCATGGTGATAGTGTTTCTGGCAAAATCTGAGATGACTGTGATGACCAAGTATCTTCAGCAAACCCGAAGCTCGACAATTTGCCATGCCTGGCCAGTCGGCGAAATATTTGCCGCGATACATATTTATTCCGGCAGTCGTCTTCAGAAGTAACAAGGTCGTTATGCTGAAATACGAGTTGTGCAATATGCATCTCTGCCAGGACGGTGTACCATTCATCCGTACCTGTGTAAGTCTGGCTTTCTGGAGGCAAGATACATCTTGGTATGTTTGCTAGACGAACCATGTCGGTCATATTATGAGACAATGGACGACCGGAAACTTCATAGATATGAGGATGAGTTTGGAGCAGAGATCCAATCCTTGGGAAAGCTAGTTGGGACATTGCCAACAAACAATGCGCTACTCTTTGCCAGATAACATGCAAAAGAGACTCAAATACGTTTGGGTCAAGGACGTGGGGCACTGACAAGTCTTTATTTGGCCGTGTTAGCCTGGCAGATATGCTCCCACTATTCTCTCGTCGCTCCATGATGATAAAGGGACCTAACACCGAGTCTTGGCCGAAGTGTAAATGGCGCGGAACCGGCAACTTGGTCTCTTGTGCCACAAGACAAGCTGTCGCTGCCTCATACATTGTCTTCTCACCAGGGAACTGAACGAGGCTTGGGCATGGAAGTCGAACCATAACATGAGGCGACATTTCTTCCACCTGCACTCGGTAAAGAACGTTGAACCCTCTAAAGATCAAGGGCGAAATGAGTGTTGCTGGTTTGCCAAATTGATGCTGGACAAACTCTTCCACTCGACGGCAGAAGGTTTTAAGCCTCAGTTGATTCTGCGCTGCCTCAGAATCCTCGTCATTTCTATCCCAGACAAGATTGTCGAGTTCTTCTTGGCCGCTGTAAAACACCATGACGGATGGCAAGCCAAGTGAAGGGGAAGCGCTAACAGATCACAATAAAGCCCGGGATAAGGGATACGAGGCGAAGGAGGGATTGGATCCGGTCTTGTCTAGTTACAAGCGCGCGTGACAATGGAGTGTTGGACATGAACAACTACCTCGAAGGCTGGAGGAGCTTAAATGACCAAGAGGCGGGGATTGATGATTAGTCACCTCTAATGCTCGTCGAGAAACTTGTACCAAACATGCATTGCAGGAGAGATTACGATCGCGGATGGATCTATGTAATATGCTGACAACCTCAATTAAACGCACCTCACATTTGTGAGTTGAATATATAGAAAAAGTAGTGACCATCTCACTGAGCCGAACCAACAACTTCAGCACCGGCTGTCCTTCCGTAAACAACACACTCCAACAAAGAGGAACCTCCCAAGCGATTATCTCCATGAATACCTCCTGTAATCTCACCAGCAGCAAAAAGGCCAGGAATAGGCACAAGCTTATCCTCACGCTTCGTCAAAACACGGGCCTTCTGATCAATGGCGACTCCCCCCATGGTGAAATGTGTGATAGGCGTTACTCGGCCGATATAAATATCCTCATCGCGATTTTCCTCTCCGGCCTTGAGTGTCCAGCGTCCCCTCTGCTTACGGCCGAATTCATCGTCTGTGCCCTCAGCGACAGCCTTGGCATATTTATCCACAGCAGCAATCTGAGAAGGCTTGAGATCGCGCACCTTGACCTTCTTGAGGAGGCCCTTCCACTCATAGAAGCCAATGTGGTTAGCCGATGCAGCAGAGGCACCAGGGTCGAGAAGAATAGTAATATCCCATTGCTTGATGACACCGTCGCCATCGGTGGCAGTTGGTAGCTTCATGATAGCGTTGCTGACATGCTCACGAGTATCCATCTCGTCAACGAAGCGAGAGCCCTCAGGTGAAAGAAGAATACCGCCTTCGCCACGGAGCATCTCGGCCGCGAGAAACTTGAGCATGGAGTTGGGCGTCGCAGGATCAACGAAGCCTGTTGGGTGAATTTGCACGCTGTCCATGTCTAACAGCTCAGCTCCCACAGCGGTGAGAATATCGTGAGAGCCCGGCCTCTCCTCGTTCGTCGAAGGAATACCCTTGAGGTCAGGGCGATAGCGCGCCAGAAGACCTGTGGCATCTCCAGCGAAACCACCACTGGCGAACAAGACGGATCCCTCAAGGTTATGCTTCTTCCCTTCAAATTCGTACTCGACACCCTTGACGGTGTTTCCCTCCTTAAGTAGTGCCCTGACCTCAGCAAGGTTGGTAATAGAGAACTTCTCATTCTCTTTGAGTTTGTTGAGTAAAGCGATGATGATGGCGGCTCCGGGCGGTGTCTTTCCAGCGCCACGGTGAGTGCGAGCAACGCTGTGGCCGCCAAGAGGTGCCACGACACTGAGATCTACACCGATCTCATCAACAAGCCAGTTGACTGCGGCTGCTGATTCGGTAGTGAGCTTTGTGATGAGAGCCTCGCGATCGACAGGAGGTTGCGTGAGATGGAACCGTGACCCAGCTGATCTGACAGAGTCGCTGTAGAAAAGAGTATCGCTCTCCACGCCAGCAGCGCGCTGGTACTTGGTGCCCGCACCATTAATACCCGATGAAGCCTTGATGCTGTTACCGCCAGGCTTCGGCGCGCGATCAAGAAGATGAACGGATGGAGCCCCGCGCTGAAGAGCCTCATACGATGCTGATAAACCAGCGAGGCCGGAGCCGACGACAACGACGGGACGCGTGGACATGGTCTTTGAGAAAACAGAAGTTACAGTCGAAGGTTTAATGATGTTTCCGTAGAGCATAGCAGTTAGAGCGACTGCGAAGCCAATGCATGAAAGGAACAGGATCTGCGGCCTGCTCATGGTCCAGCGAAGGATACGAGGCATTAGGTTATTATTGCGGGGGCGGCACTCATAGGCGGTATCGGCGATTTATACATACAATACGGCAGAGTGAGTTGGTTGCAGCTGCAATGATGGTTGTGATTGCTCAGCGTGAGGTGTTGGATCATGGTGGACTGTTGTGGTCGTGGCTCACGGCCCATCAGGTGATTCTGTTCCATCGTACGATGCGTGAGAATGAAGCTTCTCCGGTCTAGAAGGGAAAAGGGGGTTGAGGATGTTACGACGCACGACGTAGTCGTAATATGCAGAAGATCTCGGCAGACGTGAATAGGTTTAGAGATTAGCAGATTCAAGATTGATAATTGTTCTTGCTTTTTCCCGATTATCGGTCATGGTACCGATCGGTCAGTCCCGGTTTTCCGGAGCAGGGCGGCCCCACCTTCGGGATGACGGGATGATGAAATACCGAAGCAACGGCTACAAACGATACTTTCCGCATCACGTTAAGGAGAACATTACAAAGAAAGCATATCGGTGGAGGACTTGTCTCAACAGAGTGCAGTGCCCATTTGTGCCTTGCGGCTGTCATCTGGTGGCGTGAGCCCGGCATTGGCGTCAACACCAGGATCGGCCTGCACGATGAACCTGCAGAAACCATGACCCGAATGATGATTGTGACCATGATCGAGATTCTAGTGCGCCTCGTAAGGCATAGTCCGTAAACACATAACTGTTCATAGAGGTTGGCACAGGTATTTATCCGCTCCACTGCCTGTACTGATCTTAGAATATGATAGCGTCAGTAATTCGATCACAGGTGTACTCAATCAACTTTGAGCCTTTGATCATGATGTTCCTCATTTTTTCATATGTACAGTACCAAGCTTATTACATCACATGCTAACCACCATCTAATGAGCCGCGATGCTTCAGCGGCGGCTGTAAATGCAAAAGCCAACGATCGCTGGCCGGTACAGCGAATGACCTTCTAAAACTCCTTCAATGCAGCGGACTCAAACCACATGTTCGCCTAAAGTTGGAACGTATACACCCTATTTTATAAGAATCCAAGTCGTAACGCGTGAAATGCAAGAAAACTTCATCGATACACGTCTAAGCAAGGTTTTGCTCGGCCTTGTGGTGACGGTGTGCCCGACCCTCATCGGACCAGGGGAAGTGGATGACGGGAACCTGGAAGAAGGAGTTGCTGATGACTTGTTAATGATGTATACTTTTATAGAGTGAGGAGGTAAAACATACCTGCTGTCTTGGAGACCGGCGAGGGCATTGTACCAAGCCATGAATGCAGCCAAGAATCCAAACAGCCCAGCTGCCTTTTGAAGAGCAAGCTGAGCGCTGTGGTTGCCCAAGTCGTGGGCATAGTTCTCGCATGCAAGCAAGAGGAAGCAGATGTCGAGGAAGAAGAAGAGGGAGAAGAATGCAAGGGTGGACTTGAGGGTGCAGATGAGGAGAAGTGTTGTGAAGATCCACCAGCCAGTAAGGAAGAAGCCCATGACTGAACCAGTATCACCCTCGTAAGGACCATCGGCGCCGAGGACGTTCCATGTTGGTGTCAAGAGAAGACCATAGGCGATCCAGAAGCCTCCGTATGATGATAGGGCGGTAGCACCGAAAGTGTTTCCAACAGCCATTTCCCTGTGTATATGTTAGAGAAGGTGTATAAGTTGAGTGGCAAGTACAACATACCACATGCCAGCGCAAAGCTGAACAAGACCACCATAGCCAAAGGCCACAGGAATAGCAATAGCAGGCGAAGATTCACCACGGACGTGCATGTTGATGCATGATAGGACAAAGGTTGTGAGAGCGAAAGCGCATAGTCCTAGAGGAGCTGGGTTGGCGAACTTGCGGTGCTCAACAGGCTTCCAGAGACCTGGCTGCAGGGCACCACCGAAAGCGGGATGGATGTTTGAGGGATGGGCATAGAGATGAGGATGAGCTTGTTGATGGGCAGCAGTTGTCTGACGCTCCAGTGTCTTGTCAGAGTCGTGAGGAGACTCGTTGGAGAATTGCTGTTGGTAATCGGGCATTGGTTGAGCCATTGTTACGTGTGTTGGTGCGGACTACTGAAGTCCAAGTGATGTTCTATAAGTGATGTATCGACAGGAAATAGTATGACGGTCTATAAAGGACCAAGCGTGAGATGAATAGCAAGAAAAACAACGAGATCGAAAGTGGCAACGGGAGACAAGACAGATTTATAAAGCAGGACGGACTAACTAGACCAGGGCAGAGACTCGACACGGGAATTGAAGAGAGAATGGATATCAAATTAGGTTCTGGAGACGGGGGCAGAAGGCAGAGCAGAGACCGTGCTGTGGAGTGATATGGGTACGTAGGTGGAGTGACGGTGGAGTGCCCCGACGACGAGGGCGTGGGCGTGGAGAAAGCAAATGTCTGACCAGGGTCGAAAGGGTCTAGAATGGGGGTGCAAGATCAACAACAGCGCTGCAGATTTGGGGGGACATCAAGTGTATCAATTGGGCAAAAGATGACGATTATGTTCAATGATGCTCAAATGTATAGACAATGCACATTTTATAAGAACACATCTATCATCGTGGTGGTGATTATAAGTCCATGAGGGTGACATGGCAAGGCTCAACGGCCCGGATTGTCCACCTCATGATCTCTTCCTCTCCTGACAAACAAAACATATATTTCGGGTAAAATCTAAGCAAAACCACAAATAGAGGAGAAACTTCCCTTTGAGTATTCCAATTGGCTCTCAAGACAAACAAAGAACCCTCATAAACATCAAAAACGCACAACCCCTAACCCCAACAATCCGGAGAGCACCATAACCCGCGGGGAATACAATCACATTGTGGGGAAGACATGAGGAGAAAACTCAATGGATGATCTCCTCGCACGACCAAAGAGTAACCGGAAAAGATGCCGTCGGTCTTTGAATTCCAGACGTTTCAGCGTGTGAACAAGCGCGTATTGCGGATTACATAGCATGATATGCAGCATGTTGGCCCTAGCAAAAGGTTCACACATCTGAGATCCATCCGGTGGTGCTGGGGTTATCCCTCGACTTTGCGGAGAAGATGATTGTGTGAGAAATACGGAGGATATCTGACTAAAGATTACAGGTCAGAAGAGACTTTCG